ACCAAATTTATTATATAACTCAGATAAAAAGTCTGAATCAGGCCTGCCTGCTGGTTGTAGTAGTTGGTAAATAAGAGCAGATTCAGTTTTATCATTATTATTATCTAAGGCTTGCCTAGGCGTAATAGTGAGGTCCTAGGAGCATGATATCTATTACTTATAGGAGCGCAGTAAAATAGTAAACAATTTTAAATGAGCGATTTGGATCTTATAGACATGCTTTCTAAACCATATTAATTAAAAGAGCAGGTTATTTAATCTGATTCAGAACAGATAAGTACGAGCCAAATTGATTTTTAACTAACTGGTTTTTAGATCCTATACGCGTGATCTCTATCATAGCTGATTTTAATTCCTAGAGACATGGTATCCAAGCATTAAAGCTGACTTTTGGTCCCATAGGCATGGTATCTAATTGAACAAAGTAAGCATGCAGAATTTTATTAAAACCAAAGCAGATCCTATAGGCATGATTTCTATTAAAAGCCATTTAGATCCTATAGGCATGGTTCCTAATTGAACAAAGTAAGCATGCAGAATTTTATTAAAACCAAATCATATCCTATAGGCATGTTCTCTGACAAATCATATCGAAAATATACCTATAGGCATGTTATCTGCCCTTCTAATAGCTAAAGCATGCAGAATCACCCTATTCCTTTTCACTAGACAGCACTGATTTTGTTTACAAATTATTACAGACCAAATGATTGAATCACCTCAGGAAAAAAAAGTGCAAAAATAAGAAGTTACAACCATATGAAGCTTGATTCTGACTTCCTCTATGAGTTATGGAATAAACCACCTCAAATGCCAATGTTGTTCAATGCCTTTCTCATATCTGGGTCTGTCAGAGTTTCCTAAGGACCTCATGGGATCCCGAGCAGTGCTCACACCCATATTTGTATAATCAGATAAAATGAGTGCAGCGTGGAAGGGCCAGCCCTTATGTGTCCAAGTTTAGAGGGAGCTCAGGAGTTCCAAGGCAAGGCTCACACAAGAGGGGCAAAACCTTGGTTCTAGGAATATAGTGAAAGTGAAGAGCATAGTTGAAAAAGAGTTTGTTTGGACTGGCAAGTCCATTTTGAAAGTAATCAGTAGCAGAAGTGTTTGAAATCAGTTGGGATAATGAACAAAACTCAACACACAGAATCAGTAGTCACACAAAGGGGTCAAGAGGTTTTTGGGAGTATATTGTATAAAGCATATGACCCTAGTAGGGGTCAGGTTTGGTCATGCACAGCAATAGTTGATGCTAGCATTCCCACAAACCAACCAGAGAACACAAACACATAGAGGGGATATGGGGGTTTGGGATTCATAAGTCAACAAATACATAACAACTGACTGACAGAGTACACACATAGGGAAGCATTAATTTAAAAGGGAAGGGAACATATTAAAGCATACTAGTAATATACTTGACTGTAGAAGCATAAGCAGGAGTAGACAAGAATGAAAGGAAATGGAACAATCAAAGAAACATGTTGTTGTTGGGGCTTTTAAAAATTAACTAGGACATACCAGTAGAGAAGCAAAGTGCAGAAAGGAAAAGTAAGCAAGATTCTATAGTCTAGCCTTGGCTTTCAGCCGGCTAGACAAAGCATTAGCACAAGTGGTAGTAGAGAAAAGAGAGAGTTTAGAGTGTAAGTGTGTGTTATGATCTCAAATTGTTCGTGTTTGAAAGAAGAGAGGGTGGATATTTATAGTTTTGAAAACGAGTGAAAAATAAGGTAATAAGTAAAGTCGTAACACAAACATGGAAATAATCACAAATCAGAATCAATTAACGCAAGTGATTCCCTTTAATTAAAGAATCACTGCTTAACGGATACTAACAGTGGTTAATTAAGGAAAGAGAATCAGTTTAAAATAGATTGATTATTGTCATATATTGGGGCAGTAAAAACATGAAGTAAATAACTAAGTCTAAGTACAAAATAAACTTAATTTTGGGAATGGGTTAGGCAAAGATCAAACATCATAGTAAAGGAAAGGAATCAATTAATTTTAAGAAAATGAGTAAAAAAATTAAGGTTTATAAAGGGAACCTGTTGCAATCAGTCGTAAGATTGAGGGAGTCAAAATCAATCAAGAAAGGGTCATGATTCTGCACCTCAACATATAAATAGCAAGGAATGAACAGGCATGCAGGGTCAAACATGTTGAAAAAAAGAAGCAACACAAACATACAGTAGCAGTAGGAGTAAGCTAGGATTCAGTAGTAAGAAAATATTTGAAGCATAGTTGTCAAGTAAGTCAAGTAGTCGCATAGAATCAACACTGAAGAAGAACACGGTAACAGGTAAGAAAAATTAGAAACAAGTAAAGGTCTCACATTAGTAATAAGTGAGAAAAAACCCCTTTTAAGAAATTAGGGCTTCGAAAATAGTCGAGTTTAAGAGATGATAAGAACTCAAATTAGATAAATCAAACAAGGAAAAGAGAGTCAGAAACAAAAAACTTAATCGAACAAGTACACATTTAAACAAACAGTTTCAGAACTCGGATAAGGCCAAAAGGACCTAGGGTTTTCAACATGTTGAATCAAGTAGAAGGAAAGCATAAACAAGTTGTTTGAACATAGTAAAATCATAAAACAACACCAAAAATCAGAGAAGAGATCTTTAAAAAGAAGTTAAGAGAAACATTAATCGTTGAAAAATGAAGAGGCATTTTGAAAGAAAATCGAAGAACCTTCAAAAAACACCTAAGAAGTTTATAATATGCACAAATCTAAGATAGATCTGAAGAAAATTGAAAAATCCTAAAGGTTAGGGTTTCAGAGAACCCAGAAGAAGCGAGAAAGACTTTGAAAGTTACCGATCTAGCCGAAAAAGTCAAGGATCTGACTTGAACGGCCATGGATGGCCGGAGAAAGGCCATGAATGGAAGTTGAGCAAGGATTGGACCAGATCTCTTTGAGATCTGGCCATAAAATCACACAAACGGGCCACCAGGAAATGCAGGAGGCCGGTATACATCTCAAACGGCCATAGGAGACCATGGATTATGTGGGGATTGGGGTGGATTAGGGTGGAATTAGGTGGCGACGGCTAGGGTTCATATGAGGCTTCAAAGAGAATTGAGAGAAGAGGGATTCAATGGCGGCGTTTGGTGAAGAATGAATTAGCGTAAGGGGTTGTTTAAGTTTATTTTAGGTAAGGGTAACGGTGACCGTTGATCTGAATGATCAACGGCCATGATTAAAATGGTTAGGTGGCGAATCCGGGTTAGGCTGGTTAAATTGGGTTAGGGGTCAAGTTTAAATTAAAATTGGGCAGGGGGAAATTGGGTTTAATTTGGGGTCAAAATGAAGGCCAATTTGGGGTCAAATTTAAATAGCTATTTTTCTCTTTTTTAATTTATAAATAGTAAATACATTTCTGAAAACAAATTGAAAACATTAAAATGATTCACAACATGTAAATCACAATTTAAAAATATAGGGCTTAATTTTATGAATATAAAACACAATTAAATCTTAAAAAGGCTAATATTGCAATTATATGCAATTAGCTTTAAAAAAATACTAAATAAAATTTTGAAAAATATGTAAAAATTACCACAGCTATGTTTTGGCATAAAGATAAAAATCCAATAGATGAATTACCAAAAATATTAATTTTGAAAATAATTATTGAAATTTTATGGATAAAAAAAGGAAATAAATCAATTAAAATCTTTTAAAAATTATAAAATAATAATAAAATACTTGTATATGCTTATATATGTATATGTATGCTATTTTAAAGTTATTTTTCATATTAAAAAATATATAGGGAAAATTGGGTATCAATAGGGTCCCTCGCAAATGCGAAAGTGACCGGAATTGCACTTGGTCGCAAATGCGACAAAAATCTTCGCATTTGCGAAGTCAACAGGTTTTGAAAGGGTTCGCAACCTGCAAATTCATAACTTAGTCGAAAATATTTCATTTTTCAAACATTTTCAAAACCTAAACACATTTGTGCGATTTTTCAAAGACAAGTACTCTTCCAAATCGATTGTAAGCCATTTCTAACTCGTTTTCATTAATCTTTAACATCTTTTCACATGATTTTAACTCAAACTCAAGGGTTTTCATGGGGAAAATTGGGTATTTTGGGTAGAACTTAGGTTTTTCAAATTTTGGGGATTTGGACCTCGACTTGAGGTCCGATTTCAAAATAAATTATATATTTGGGTTCATGGGTGAATGGGTAATCGGATTTTGGTTCGAACCTTGGGTTTTGACCATGTGGATTCGGGGTCGATTGTTGACTTTTTGGGAAAAACTTTAGAAAACCTATTTTCATGCATTAGAATTGATTCATTTAGCATTTATTGATACAGTTAAGTAACTTGTAGCTAGATACGAGCGAATTGGTGGTGGAATCAAGAGGTAAAGCGGTAATTGAGGCTTGAATTGTGTTAGTGGCATCGAGGTAAGTATTTGGTCTAACCTTAGCTTGAGGGATTAAGAGTTGTGCCTTATTTGCTATGTGTTAATTGTGGAGTACGACGTATAGGCATGGTGATGAGTATCTATACGTCGGTGTCAAGCATGCTCGTGGGTCTAGTGTTATAATTGTTGTGACTCCGTTGAGATTTATTTGTGCTTAATATGTTGATAATAATTGTTGGTTCCCTTGCCGGGATGCTATTGTTTATGATATTACCTCCCTTGCTGGGATGTTATTGTTTATGATATTGTCTCCCTTGCCGGGATATTGTTGTTATGACATTGTCTCCCTTACCGGGATGTTATCGTTTACGATATTGTTTCCCTTGTCAGGATGATGTTGTTATACTCTTGTTCCCTTGCCGGGATGTTGGTGTTATACTTTTATTCCCTTGCTGGGATTCTTTTATGATTGATGTTGATTTGTAAATGGGATCAGGTGGCACGCCGCCACGAAAATATATGAAATGGGAACGGGTTGCACGCCTGCAACAAGATATATGAAATGGGAGCGGATTGCACGTCTACAACAAGATATATGAAATGGCGGGTACAGACTTTAACTTCAGAATTGGCGGTTACAAAAGCTTCTTCACACCAAGCAGAGAAAGACAAAGAGCGTCACGAGTCCTCCTTCTCAGAGCAGCTATCTAAAGCTAGTGAAGAGATCAGAGAATTAAAGGTCTTTTAAACCAAAAGGAAGTTTACGCTGGGGAGCTTGTGCAAAATTTGACTCAAGCACAGGAAGACCTCAGAATATCTGTTGATAAGGTGTGTGCTTTAGAATGCTCACACGCCTCTCTTCAAGCTTCCCACAGCTCTGCCTTGGCTGAAAATGAAGAGCTAAAAAATGAGATCGCTGCTTGGGAAAAGGATTATGAGATCCTTGAAGAAAAATCTGTTGTTGAGGCAAGTTGGGCTTTTTTGAATTCTCGTCGTGATACCCTACTTGAAGATGGACAAGAAAACTTCAACCTGGAGTTGGAGTTAGCTAAAATCAACAAAACTATTGAAAAGGCTCAACAAACTCAGGACTTCCCTTCTCCCATGGATGAAGTTCCCGTGGCTGAAGTTCCCGTGGCTATTGAAGCTAATACGAGTATCATGACTATTTCAAACTCGATCGAGCCCGTTGCTGCAAGCCAAGTTGAAGCCGCGTCTACTGATGCACCTGGCCAAATTGAGCTTGCTGCTATCGACGTTCCTGCCTCAATACCACAAACTTCTCAGTGACCAGTTTTAATCATTCAAAGGATTTTATTTTTGTTTTGATTTTGGAAGATTGTAATCAAACCCTTAACTTCATTTGAGGGTTCATTTTAGAAACGTCAGTCCCCAAGTCTTTTAATAGGGCAATCTAAACAATTTCGTAGTTTTATGACTAAGTTAGAACTTAGTCTTAGATTTTTTTATATATTAAGAAGTTTTTTATCTTAAACTTCTGCTTGCTTTATTCTCGCCTTTCTTTTTAAGGACTTATAGAATAATTTGCATTTTTGTTTTCCGAAAAATGCTTCTATTAACCTCATGATTAATTTAAACATGAGTTTTATAAAAGAGGGCCCTTTTATATTCCAATACTTAATAAAGAAGACGTCTCAACTTCATAATGGTATTATCATACGACAAAAGAAATAGGAATACACATGTTTCTCTGAAATAACTTTGACAAGATTTTATTTTTGAACCTTGTCTAGTTCCGAATAAAACTTTACATGTATTTGAATTACATCTATAACTTTCTCGTAACTATTTTCTTATAACAGATTCAAAAGAAGAATAATAGATACGGGGTTTTTCCATATAACCCGTTTTAGTACATAGCCTTTGCCCTAACTATAGTGAGGTTTTTCTTTGGTCTTAGCTCGTGGCTTTATGACTTTTACTCTGTACTTCACTCTTTCAGGCTTGATTTTTCCTTAATCTGTTTTGCCTTCTTTATACATATGTCTGTGTATATTATGTAGTCCCCCAAGTGTTTGAGTGTTGAAGTATGAAGCCTCGAGCACTTGATAGTTTCTCTCGTTTGGTCCTTTTCCTGAAAAGGAAAAACATACGGGACTCGAAGGAACGATTATAGATGAAGACCGCATAACCCGTTTGCATTTCTATCAGAATAATTGTAACCTTAGGCCAGGAATTTTAGGTTACTCTATGTGCCTTACAGGTCGTGACTCATCATTTAGTACGGGTTAGTATTTTGCCTATCATCTAAAATCGTTAGTAAAATTTTAACAATTCAAAATAAAATTTAAAATGGTTATACCTGACCGTGGGTTTTCCTTAGAAATAGTATCTATTTAAATGAACAGCATTCTAATGCGAAGGTAGTATCTTGCCATCCATTGTCTCTAGTTCATATGCTCCTTTTCCTGCAACATCACTCACTCTGTAGGGTCCTTCCCATGTTGGACTTAATTTCCCTGTGTTAGCTACCTTTGAAAAACCGTTTTAAGCACGAAGTCCCCAATTTTGAAGAACCTGAGGCGTGCTTTTCTATTGTAGTATCGTTCTATGACTTGCTTTTGTGCTGCCATTCTTATTAAAGCTGCTTCTCTCCGCCCCTCGAGTAAATTTAGGTTGACCCGCATCTCCTCGTCATTAGATTCTTGTGTCGCCTGTGTGAACCATGTACTTGGTTCCCCTATCTCAACTGGAATTAAAGCCTCAGCTCCATAAACCAATGAGAACGGTGTTTCACCTGTACTTGTTTTTGCAGTTGTGCGATATGCCCATAAAACTCCAGGTAACACTTCAGGCCAGTTTCCTTTTGATTCCTCTAGTCGTTTCTTTAAATTGTTGATAATGACTTTGTTCGTTGATTCTGCCTGTCCATTACCCACCGGATGATATGGTGTTAACGTAATCTTTTTAATTTGCCAGCTTTGAAAAAATTCCATGATCTAAGCTCCAATAAATTGAGGACTATTATCACATACGATCTCCTTTGGTACGCCGAATCGACATATGATATTCCGCCAAATAAAGTCTCTGACTTCCTTTTCTCGCACCTGTTTGAATGCACCTACCTCTACCCATTTAGTAAAATAATCAGTGAGAACAAGCAAAAATTTTACTTGTCTTTTTTCTTGCGGTAATGAACCTATAATATCCATTCCCCATTTCATAAATGGTCATGGCGCAATGACCGGATGTAATAATTCCGCAAGTCTATGCATATTGTTACCGTACCTCTGG